TTGAAAGACATTCTAGTTAGCTATCCTTATCACTATAAGACTAAGTGCTTCAGTTATTATTAATAAGTGTTAGTAGATGGACAGGAATATTCGACTAAAGCCAGTAACGGAAATTTACACACTTTTTAAGACCTACTCAGTTGTGTGTGAGAAGGCAAAAATCTATGTCTATGTGCATGTGCTTCAGGTAGTCTAGCAACTATTTGCCACGTTTACTGTAATACTACCACTTGCAAGCAGGGCGCTTATATACTGGGCGGTGCAACGCGCTGATAATCGCGCTGATCGACGTGTGATGCGGAAGAGGACTGGCACGAGAGTGCTTATTTGCAAATTCGAATAAAATAGCTAATTTTGTTTATCCGTATTGCATCGCTTTTTTTACTGAAACGTTTCGTTGTGAGACACGGGTTTTTTAAAAAATAGATAAAATGACTCTTATTTACCATCGAAATGTATCTTTAAATCAAGAATATGTTGAAATGTGCACAATACAGGGCCGTAGGAAGCTCTTTTCGATTGGGGGGGCTGAAAGCGAGGGCCGAAGGCCCCAGGAAATTTTTAAATTTAGAGTCTCTAAAATGCCATTTCCTGGACTTTGGGGGAAGATTTAACAGAATTCTGATAGTCAGAAAACAGCGTTTTAGTATGTCGAAATTTACAGGAAGGTATGGGCCAGACTGTAGTATTATAAATGCGCGGCGGGAATTTTCGTCGTAAATGGCAGTTGCGCGGAAATGAAGGCAGAACATTTGAGAAAATTTCGAAAATCTGGAGTCTCTAGATGGTCTGAAATGGCATTTTCAGAGTTTTCTTTCGCAAGACCCAACACGCAAAAGACAAAATAAATCATTAGTTTATCAAAAATGTGCAGATTTTGTGGGATTTTCTTGAAAATGCGCGATAGAAATTCAGCTAAAATTTCTACGCGAGGAACGATCTGGAGTATGAGTAATATCTTCATTCTTTGCAGTTTGTCACAGATTAAATGATAAAGTTTGCATGATTTTGAAAAAAGAATGATTATTAGCAAATTATTGGGGGGGGGGGCTGCAGCCCCCCCAGCCCCCCCCCGGTTGCTACGGCCCTGCAATATTAGGGAAAACGGCGTGATGTTTTGATGACTTCTATTGACTGTTTTTTCACTGTGGGCGCTTGGTGTGTTATCGTGAAGACTACGGCATAATTTTTCGGTAAGTTAAAAGTCACCTATTATATGTTTGTATTGTAAAATTCTGGAAAAAATCGGAGTGGATAATTTGGGGATATTGTATGACTGAAGTTGACCCTTTTAAGGCACAAAATCCAGTAGATTATTGTATAAAATTTTGTATTTTAAAGTACGCCAATATTTTAAATATGCTGTCTCGTTCTTCCCCGTATATGCTTTGTAATTTGTCCAAAATTCTATAGATTGTAGAAAGAAATAGATGCAATTTTTTGGACCCTATTGCTACTAAGACCTGTTTAGCGAAGTACGGCATATTGAAGATATAAACGAGCGCTTGGTGTGTTAAATGCTTTTATACACCTTGAAATTTTGTTGTAGAATTGTATTGGGGGTATACGTTTCATAATTTGTCAAAACAAAGCGATTCGTAGTGGATAATTTTATTGATTTTGACCTTTCAAGATAGCATAGCCATAAAAATTCTTTCTTTAAAATCGAACATTGAGCTAAGGATGATTGTATATCACTATGGAAATATAGATAATGGCGTTTGATGTGAAATGTCGTAAGCAGGGGCAAGCGCGCTTTGCTAAACTAGTTTGCGAGAAACGTTTGTCTTTTGTTGTTTTTGTATTATTATTTTTTGCTGCAAATGTGCGATGTAAACTGTAAAAGACCCGCGTCGGGCTTCTCCCCATCGTGTTGTAAGCGTGTTAAACCGAGTTTAGAAAAAGAAAGTTATAAAACATGTTCAGCTGGCGAGAGTTCCTGTTCATCGTCTCCGTCGTATGTGGGGCCCCAAAATGAAAGACTTCAACCTGTTGCAAACATTGGCTGCATACAATTTCCACCTTCTACGTCACTGGAATACAGCAGTGGATTACCTCTTCAGCCGGAAGAACTACTTCTATATAGTTTAACTACAGTTTCATCACCTGGCAGGAATATAAACTCTGTCAAGGGATATTCACCAGAAAAGTTTGCAGGAATCTCAAATGCTATCTTGGATGTTTACGATATTAACTTTGACTGTGTGAAACTTCGAAACTATTTCTACAGGTCTATAAACAATACAAGAAAAGGCTTAGGTAAATTTAATGGGGTTCTTCGGTGGAGATACTATGCTCTGGATGTGAACAGAATAGTTACCAAGTATCAGAACATACTGGTAAATCTACTGGTTAATAACAATGCAGTCGGTGCTCAAGATTACAAGGATTTACGTGATGGTCTTAATTCAGCTAGTGTGTCTGCTTCACAGGAATTGGAAAAGTCGAAAAGCCTTGCCTACAAAGTCAGTAAAAGCAATTACATCTTGGCAAAATTTCCTAAATGGAAAGTTGTGGCAAATATTGATGAATGTGAGGTACATTTGCATTACTTTGGTTCCAATCTTACTAGTATTACTGAAGAATATAAAGTTACAATATTTGCAGATGGTACATACAAATTTATTTTTGGAGGGAAACCCAGAGAAACAAATTTGAACTACAAGGACAATAGTCCTATCCATAATCTCAATGACCTGTATTCATTTATGGAACACTTGGAGCGATATTATCTTTGTCCTGGTGTACAGTTTGATGATTACAAAGATCGATTACATGATATAAGCGGCAGAGACACACCTGTCTTTAAAACTGTTGCTGGAGAACCAGCTGCATACGTTGAGCCACTACAATCGAATTTAAATTTAAAAGTTATAAGATCAACGAAATGCTCACTCATGCTTGAAGCTGATGTAAGATGCGAAGCGTGCACTCAGGTAAATCATTATATGCGAACTATTAAGTCCAGGAAGAAAACCCCCAATGAAAGCACATCAAAATTTGTTAGATTTGATTACATGAAAAAGGATACCCTTGTAGAAAACAGTCGACAAATGGCAGAAAGAATACATTTATTAGAGACGAGAGTAGAACGACTTGAGGAACGCCAGGAGACAATGAGTTCTGTTGGCAAAGCTACTGATTCGGATTTTAGGACACTATTTCAGCAATTATACAGTGGCTTGAATAAAGTAAAGGAAAAGCATGACAATAAAACTTGTTACTGGCAAGCTTGTGGCAATGAAAGTGAATTTGAATCGAAGGATTTATTAATGAAACATATAAGGACATGCCATATGACAACTATGGAGGATGTAGCACCAATTTGTAGGGAGTATACCTGTCGATGGCTTTCTTGTATGAAGAGCTTTAGAAAAAAACACTTGCTAGAGAATCACATCATTGAACATATTGGTAGTGAGTCTGACCTTTTCCTTGTCACGCTTCTAAAAGATCAGGCTAAAGCATTGAACACACCTTCTAAACAAATGAGATGGCATCCTTCTGTATTGAAATGGTGTCTCAGAGTGTATTCTCGCTCGCATTCATTGTATAGTGATTTGAGGGATTCAGGATTCTTAAAGCTCCCAAGTGGAAGAACTCTATCAGATTATAAAAACTTCTGTTCCTCAAAGTCTGGTTGGCAGATATCTGTTCTCGGAGCCATGCGAGATACATTTAATGATCAAGGATATGAGAATGTTGGCAAATTTGGTGGGCTATTTTTTGATGAGGTGAAAATTAAAGAAGGTTTACTGTTTGATCCCTCATCTTGGGAATTGATTGGATTCGTAGATTTAGATGATAATATTGACACTGTCAAGTCCAGTAGCTCGGTGCAGGAAACGTTAGCAACGCATGCCCTTCAGTTTTATTTTATTAAGTCTATTTAGTTCCTTCAGTTACCCATGTGGCTATTTCCTAACGAGGGGTATTTCAGCATCTACACTAAATAGAGTTTTTTGGCAAGGAGTTAGTCTACTACATGCTCATGGGTTTACAGTTCTTCTGACAGGTTGTGATGGAGCAGCAGAAAACCGGGCATTCATGGTGATGAATGGCTGCAGCGAAGATAACAGCAAAACCATTAATCCTTTTTCTAAACAGCCTCTCGTGTTTATGTCTGATCCACCCCATTTGCTTAAAAAACTTCGCAATAACATTTACAACAGTGGTTATAAAGAAGAGTCTGCCCGATATTCAAGATGTATGATTCTGGATTCTACTCCCATTCTTTGGAATCATATTTACTCAGTGTATCAAAGAGACAAACAGCGGCATTTATTTTCGACTGATATTAGGAGCTCCCATGTTCATCAAGTTTTGAATTCCAAAGTTAGAAAAGATATGGAGAACTATGAGCCAACTGCAACTTTGTCAACTCAGAAATACATATGTTATTGTGAGAAATTATGGGATGTCTTCAATGATACTAAGCCACTATTTTCTGTTTCCGATCCAAGATTATTAGAACTTAATAATGTCTTGCTGTTTTTTCGTAATTGGAGAGATCAACTGTCTTCTCAATCTATGGAGAAGTCTGAAAGAGCTTCTTGTTTCATAAGTTGGCAAACAATGTTTGACTTGCAGGTAAAAAATCCCCCACTAACAGTTATTTCGAATTATTTTTGCAGGTATCGGTATAAAATCTCGTAGGTATAAAATGTTTGTGGTGTTACTCTGAGTGTGTATCCACACTGGTCAGGCAAACTTTTCAGCTTGCCCGGTATGGATACACACTCATATAGTAACACCACAAACATTATATTCACCTGAGTACATAACAAAAAACAAACAGAAAAAGTATATTTCTTTATATTGATTCCTAAAGTACTTCCACTTTTCCTTACATATTTCCTTCAAACAGCAGATTATGGTTAATTAGGTTTATTCTGTAGAGGGTAACTGTTACTAAAAAGGGTCTTCAGTCATACAGTATACTAGTTTAAGTGTTATTGTGTGTATGTTAATTTAAGCATTGCATTGTTATTTTCTTCTAGATTTCCGTCAATGGACTTCGAGAATTGGTAGCGTATATTGATAGCCCCACGTTTAAAGCAGTCTATGGAAGTCATTACTACATCATACCCAAGAGATTGAGTCAGGATATTGTGGAATCATTTTTCTCGTTGCAAAGGCAATCTTGTGGTGGTTCAAGTAATATGGATACGGGTACAATGTAAACAGTGCCATATCATACCAAGCAGCCAAATCTATTGCCAAAAAGCAAACAAATGTATTTCAGGCTGATGCAGGTGAATTATGTAAGGTAGATCAGGCAAATAACCTTCCGAGAAGAGTTAATGTTGACAGCATTTTTTCTCAAAACATGTGGGCTATTCAAATTTGAATAAATCATATTGTGCAGTACATGTATAACCTTGGTAGTACTACTCTTTACTTGCAGTATAAGATTTAAAGCTCAATTTAAAGATGTGATAAAGTCCGTAGTGTAAACAAACGCTTTCAATGTTTACAATTCGAACTGCAATATTTGTACAATATGATATACTGACCAAATATCTAAAACTATTTTGGTTTGCTAAACTCATAATGAATATAAACTATAGTTTCAAGTCAAAAAAGTTCGAAAGATGCGAAATTTG